CTATTTACCATGAATGGTCCAGCTTTTCAGTTTGTAAACAAAACTAGATGAGGTGGAAATGGTGATAGGCAACCGCATGGCACTGTCAGGAGACAGGAGGTATTCAAAGGCTAAGAGAATACCTAAAAACAGCAGTGCCTCTAAGCCATGTTGTGAAATATCAATACACGGTGGGTTAGTAGCAAGCATCCAGAATGACTTTATATAAGACACTTTTGAAACACAAAGCAGTCTGTGATATCTGTCCTGTTCAGAATAAAAATTCTTACCCTTAGTCACGGTTCAAATGCTGTTTATTTTTGTATAAATATTTATAGATATTTGAGATAGTCACGTTGATAAATTCATTTAAAATTTCCATCAAAACACTCTAGATCAAATATGTTGAAATCCCAGTTTCTAAGCAGCTCAGCAGAAGAGATGACTGGTAGCATGTAAAATACAATTTAGTCTGAATGTCAACTGCAGAGAGAATAGCTATCATACACCACCAACATTATAGCTTCGTGCGATAGTACAGCAGGATTTCCAAATAACAGGTTTTACTTTTCATCCAATATTTCTCCTGTTTTGAATACTCACAGTTAAAATTGTTCATTCAAACCATTTCAAAAAACTCAAACCAACAACATTTTCAAATTCAAATGTTATAGTTTTCTTGTTTTTAAACCATGCAAATAAACCAGTAGGGAAGTTACTAATTAGATCGCACTAACGATGACATCAAACACCTGTGAAGTTCGTGCTTTTATACACGTAATAATTCTCTTCACCTCATGTACAGTTATTACACTGTGAAGAAGATATGGCTTGAATAGAAGGAAAAAATAATCTTTAAAGACATCTTTATTTTTTTCACCTTGCTACTCATTTTTTTGCTGTACGTGAAGTCCACAAAAGCTCTCCCTAAAAAAAAACTAAACTGTTTTTCTGTATGAATCCCTTACCTAGATGAAAAAACTATTAACGTTTTTTAAAAATCTATTCTAGCCAGCTCAATTATCACATATTCAACAGGGTGGAAAGGAATAAATGCCAGCGAATGCAATTTCCCCTGTATTTCTTTAACCCTCCCATATTTCATTTCTCCTTCACAGGACCCAGTAATTATATTACTTCAGTGACTACACAGTCAGTCACACAGAGCCAGCATGCAGGCCACAAATCTAAGTGCGTGCTAGGGATGCCTTGCAGGTAAAGCAGCTATTTACAAAGTGCATCTCAAAAGCAATATGAGTCACCTAAATACAGGGCTCTACTGATGGAAACCCAGTTCCTAAAAGAGAAAAATAACTTTGTTTTGACCTCAAATTGTATTAGCTATAAACATACTTAGCAGCATGGACTTCACAAAAACATTAGAATAAATCGAGCTTTAACATAATGAAATATTTAGGGCTGAGCTGATTACTTATTTTTGCTCAGCGGTCTAACAGGCTAACAGTCCCACTTTCCTATGTGAAATGAAATATGACTCAGTGTAAGTTGATTAGTAATAATTACAAGCCAGATATTCTTCTACCTCCTGAACAGCAGGAGACCTGTAATATCAATTGCAGATTTCCTGCGCTCTAATGATTCATACACAATATATGCAAGCTGTCTGCGTGGCCAGTACAGATTCTGCAATTTATCTAAAAATTCATGGAGACAGATTGATTTCCAATTTTCAATAGGAGTTTAAACCTGTAGGATATCTCCTGAATTATGGAGTCCAGTAGACCAAGTCAAAGACATCGTAATAGAATTACTTTCCTTAAATCTCAAATTAGTATATTCTTTTTTTTTCTTTTTCCTTTTTTTTCCCCCCCAATCGCCATTTTAATTGATAAACTTGTTCTTGAAGCTAAGTTTTATTTCAAACATCAATTTATTCATGAATTGATTTGAGGAAAAGACAGGGGAATTTATTATGACTCTTTCTGTTCGTTAGAGAGAAAGAGAGAGATAAAGAAGTAAAATCCAAAATGAAGGTGTTAAAGCACTGAGACATGTTGCCCAGAACTTGTGCAATCTCCACAACTGGTGATAGTCACAGCTTCACTGGACAAGACCCAGAGCAACCTGATTTAACTTGAAATTAGCCGTTTTGAGCAGGAAGGTTAGATGATCAGGGCTTCATGTATTGAATTACCTTCCGGATGACAGCCCTTAAACCATACGCACCTTTCCTGTAGCAATATCATTATTCAGTCTTGTTTTCAATGAATAATTACTATAGCTGTCCTACACATTTATAAAAAAAACCAACTTAAAATCTTAGATCTTAGATCTAGATAAGAAAGAAAAATTGAGACTTGTGAGAAAAAACATTTCAGGCTTCACTTAGGAGTGGATTATTTCACATACCTACCATTTTATTTTCTGACTGCACCACAATAAGGACATAACATAAAATGAAATACAACAAGATAACATCTTTCCTTTGTGGAAACTTTGGATTCTCATTTTTATCACAGGAAAGAAAAGCTTTGAAATAGGACCTGAAAGCAGCCAATGACAAGTTATTACCCATGCCTACAAAATATTTCAAACAGTTCCACATTTCTATGGGAGGGGAGAAACAAATCTAACATTTTTTGTAAACTACGGCAGTCAGTGCAACCAAAATCTGTGTTTGTTAAATATCAGCTTTTCTAATATCATAAAGATGCAAAAATATTAACTGTGGTTCTGAATTATTCATATTTTACCCAATTATTTCTGTTTAAATGGAGTCAGCTAAGTACTCAGAGCTATACCTCTACAATTAACGCATTAATATACACAGGTATACACAGCACAGGATGATTATTCTCTATCAGTACTTCTTCATCCTTAGTTTGGGACACTGCTTTGTCAAAAAGAACTCATGCATGCATTAAGAAAATAGAGTAAGACTTCACTGGGTATTTCTATGATTAGTGGGAACCATTTTATAGCTAACACATGTAAATATTAACAAGAGTCAAGTGAAATGAATTGAAGAGATTGTAGTTAATGTATCTCCACGACAGATATTCTCATCTCCATGAAAACCAAACCTTTCAGTTTAACTATCTAAAAAGGATCACTACTAATTTGAAAGTATTTATTTCTGCATTTCACAAACTTAAACACTGCGGTATGCAAAACCACTTCTAGTTAACAGCTATGTGTATGTGGGTAGTTCAGTGTCTGGCTTAGTGGTATCTGAGAGCTCTACAGGCAGCTTCAACAGAGAATCATCTTACCCTTCCACAGAAATGGTCCGCTGCAAGCTCACTGTGGGTGGACGCGTTGCAGTGCTGTGCTGGGAATGACTGTATGACCAAGGAAGAATAAAGAAAAGCATTTGTTAAAGAAATACAAGTTTCTCTTATTCTTATTGTCTCTAGCAGTTTAGCTAACGCCAAAATAGAAATAGCAATCAGATAGTTTTACATGTGTCTAAAGCATTTTGACTTCAGTGATGCTCATGTCTTCAAAAAAGGGCTCAATCCTACAATCTCTCTTGTTTAAAATCAGGTTTCATTCTTCCTTAAGAGCAGGCAATGAAGAGAATAATTCCCCCTTATCTTTCTTATTCTTTTAAAAAAATATATACATACACACAGTTCAGTGACTTAGATGCTAATTGTTCTGCTAAATATACTAACTATAAAACCCGAAGTTAATTTCAGAGCAGAAGGTAAAACAGTAAATGATAATGTTATCAATCTAATTCTCAGTGTTTTGAGTTTTTCCACATGAAATTATATCAATCATAGCACAACATTTAGAAAAAAACATGATATTTTCTAAGCAAAACACAGACTCTGTGAAAGAAAAATCTTTTTGATTGAAAATCCTGAGGTCTAATGGCTTCTCTCATATGTGTTGTCATGCTTGAGGAACGTAGTTACGATATTACATAAACCCAATAAATTACACAGTATATGTTAACTTCAGTATTGTACTATCGTATAATAGTGTTGTACCATTACTATTCATGTAAATATAAATGGATAACAACACAGCATCAGTCAAAGGCAGTTCTGTGATAATAAATTGCATTCCTTATCCAAGACAATGTGTTTAAAAAATAAGAATAAAAAGCAGAAGCATCTGGGTGTATCCTCTGATTAGTTTAAATGGCTACATCACATAGTGAGGCCCAGTTTTAATCATAGAATCATAGAATCATTAAGGTTGGAAAAGACCTCTAAGATCATCGAGTCCAACCGTCAACCCAACACCACCATGCCCACTAAACCATGTCCATAAGCGCCTCATCTACACGTCTTTTAAATACCTCCAGGGATGGGGA